TTATTGTTTTTTAAATATAAATTGATGAAGTAGAGTCAGTAAAGTAGTAAACTGTCAAGCGGGGCCCTCTTAATGTGCCCAGCATTAGTTTTAACAAAGTGATGACATCATTCATTATAGAAGGGGTCCTTTGCCACCGATAATGAGTTTGAGGGTTTTTTTTTGGTACACAGTTCGAGGGTTGGTTTACATGTGAATTGACTTTAGGGGTTAGTTTGCCACTACCTGATAAGTTCAGGAGCTAATTTGCATGTTTTGCCACCTTGAAATCCAAAGTAAAATGAAACAAGCTTCATTTGGGAATATTGTTATAGGCAATGCCATAATTATAATGTTAATTAAGATTGTAATTTTATAATTATAATATATTATTAAATAAGTATAATATCATTAAATAAATAAATACATACAATATCATAGATAAATTATTAAATAAAAAAATCAATTATATACTAATATATCATATTATAAACTTATATTATTACTTGGTTTTTTAACTCTATTATTTTCATATTGTTATATGGGTATATTGTAATGTGGTGATAGGTTTTTCTATCTTGTATCATTGTAAAAATAAATAAAATATAAATTTAAATTATTAAAAATATATAAAACATTAATTAAAATAATTAATTATAATAAATTTCTTCTTTTTTTTTCTTTTAGATTACATCGCGAATGTCTATCATGTCTCGCCTCTAAATTCACACTATACTTACATATCAATTCAAGATCTCTTATTTATATAAGAATGTAAATCTATTTAAAAAAAAAGTATTGTTTACAAATCTTATAATAGATAGATATGGGAACTTGTGACACAACTACATATGCCAGAATTTTCTTCGTGTGCTGGTCTGGATTGGAGATTGTGAACATTAACAAACTCAACTTAAGAATTGGAGGTGGCCGGTGGCGCTAGAAAATCCGGAACCAAAGCTCCATGTTACAATTTGTCGGCGGCAGCCAAATACCCCCTTTAACGACCACAACTGCTTCATCCAACCAATGAACGAGGTCAATCATACTTGGGTTTGGGCATCAGATTTTTATTATGAATCCTATCTTACTTTTAGTCTTGGGCCGTAATATTCTCATTATGAGCCCATCTTGTTGTGCATTTTCAAACGGGCCATATTTACTTGCAGAAGTGCTATTTCAATTCTGTGGCCTACAAAGTGGCCTTTCTCACGGCCCAAAAACGGTCCAATGCCTCGCCAGCGAGTGAGCTTTCTTTCATTTCGTTCATAAAACCTTGGAAATGGGAAATTTAACTTTAGTTTAAAAAAAAAAAAAACCTTGTAAATGGGAGTGGCCTGGTTTATCTAAGAAAGGCAAAGATGGGGAGATTTTTATGTTGTTTGATTTTTAATAAAGGCATGAATGGGGATGAAAGATAATAGACAAGCAATCTACATTATATTCTATTGTATTTGGCTCATGATATAGCTTTGGCCCACTACCTCATTTGTATATGTAGACAATATTTCAGCAAATAATACGATGGCAGATTCAATTATTTATGGTATCAGAGCGTAATTAGAGCACCAAAATTGCATCTTCTCGTAGCATATCATTTAGGTTTTTCTCTTTGCAGTCATGTCTATCATGTCTTCCTCACCCGCAATCTCTTCTCAAACCTCATTTGTCTTAGTCTCACCTATTTCTACTTCTCCTCTCTCAATTGTAACACCATCCCTTTCTCCTTCTTTAATGACCACTACATCTGTGTCCTCTATTCAATCATCCAATAATTACAGTTTCCAATATACGAAACTTTGTTTTTGAGACCCTAACTCATGATAACTATGTCATATGGAGAGAGTTTATGATTCTTATTGTGTGTAGCAAAGGCATTTTCGAACATTTAGATGGATCTGATCCTTGCTCTTTACCAACAGATCCAAGTTTTGAACAATAACAGCAAATAAATTTTCAAGTTCTTTCTTAGATACATGCGACAATCTCAAAAGATGTTTTGTAGTTAATCATTTAACCTGACATAACTTTGACTATGAAAGAGGCTTGGGATTCAATCAAAGTGGCCTATAATGATCAACTAAAAGCTAATGCCATATTATGTCAACAAGATTTTGCTGGTTTGCACAAAGAGCCTACTCAATCTATGATGGAGTATCTAGGTCGTGCTAAAGCCTTGTCTGATCGATTGCATGGCATAGGACAACCACCTACTGATAAAGAATTGGTTATTCAAACTTTGGTTGGGTTAGATGAAGCCTATAGTGTTCCCAAATGCACCATGCCGTAGAGAGTTCCTTTTCCTTCCTTCTTTCAACTTTACTCACTCTTGATGATTGAAGAAGTTGGTATTCAACGTGATAGCAATCATCTTTTAAGTGTAGCTTTGTTTTCCTCACCCCAAGTGCTAGTTGCTTCTAATTATTCCTAGCATGTGGGTGCCTATCGTCCTCAAGGTAGAAATCATGGTGGTTAGAGTGGTAATAAGGGATGAGGTGGTCAATTCAATGGCAATCGGTCTCAATCACAAGCTTATTTTTCTCAAGCATAGAACTTGGCTCTATCAGGTTTCTCTAGCAATTGTCGTTTCCCTTCTTCTTTGCCTATTCATCAATCCTTCACTCCTTGCGCCCCATGGAATGCAGTCTCATCGAGCCTTCCTTTGTTGCCTACACCATCCCCTCTAGTAGTCTGTCAATGGTGTAGTAAGCCCAATCACAAAGCCAAAGATTGTCCACTTATACCTCATCCGTCTCAAGGTAAATACCCACAGCCGACATCATATCCATAGCAATCATTCGTGATTGAGAGTGCTCCACCATCTCAATTTGTCTTTGATAATGCATCTACCGGTGGCTAGGAGTTTGATTTTGGTTTTGCAGTCCATGTCTCCACAAATACAAGTAATTTATCTTCTTCTACTCCTTACACTAGTCCTAAGTCTATTTAGGTTAGGAATGATCAACTTTTACCTATTTCTCATGTTGGTAGTACCTTACTTCATTTTAATAATTGTTCTTTTTAACTTCGTAATATCTTAGTTTGTCCACAAATTTCCAAAAATTTAATTTCTATTTGTCAATTTACCAAAGATAATAATTATAGTGTTGATTTTGACCTTTCTGGTTTTTCTATTAAGGATTTGCAATTGAAGAATGCCCTCCTTCATTGTAATAGTACAATTGGTTTATACTTTTTTGGTTAAATAGCCTTTTTGGTCCCTCTACTATAAGAAAAAGCCCCTTTTTGGTCCCTGTACCGAAAAAATCCCTTTTTTGATCCCTAAACTTTAAAATCCGGCCCCTTTTTAGTCCCTCCATCAAATTTTGCTCGCGTGGCACGTTAACTTAACTAGAACAGCTGACGTGGGTATGCCAACATGTTAAAAATGCTTACATGGACTTCTGACACCTTCCACGTCACTCGCCACGTCACTCTCCCACGCGCGAAAATGAAAAAAACCATAAACAGTGGGACCCACATTCTGAAATACGCAGTAAATATAAGTCGATTGTCCCTAAACGCTACCAGAACATAACCCTAAATTCTCCAATTTTATTTTTCCAGTTCCCTGTCCAGAAATCATCTTCTTGCTTTCGAAACTCTTGTTTTTTCGTTCAAAATGGAGGGTGGGCTTTCGTGAAGCAACTCGTTCACTGATTCTACATCAACTCGCAGCTTTCTTGGAAAAAAATATGTTTGCAGGTGCGGTTTTGATGCTGTTTTGAGAACGTCACTGACTTACCAAAACATGGGAAGAAGATTTTGGGGATGTCCTAAATTCGAGGTGAGCTGTTCATGTTTAGAACGAAAATTTTTGAAAAAACCCTAAACTACTAATTTCATGCTATTTAGGTTGGGAAGGTTGGGAAGGCTGGGAATGCATGCGATTTCTTCCACTTTCTTGATGGTGATGAGGTGATTGAGGGAAGAGCCAGGGATATCCTGCTGCGACTTAAAGATAAGCAAATTAGGCTTGAGAAAGAGATTCAAAGTTACAAGGAAGAAAACGAAAATCTTATGGCTGAAAAGGGGAAACTGTTGCAGGAAAATGTAGACTTGATGTTCGAAAATGGGAAATTCCTGCAAGAAAATGGTGACTTGAAGGTCCAATGTCAGGCATTCGTTAAGAATATCAAAGGCTTGGAGAAGAAAGTGAAGAGGAGTGAGAAGATATGTGTCAGGGCACTTATAAGTTGTCAAATATTTTGTGTGGTTTGCATTGTATGTCTTCTTGTTTTTGTGTTTATTGGGTTGCATAGATTGCATTAACATTGTTGGGAAAACTGGGAAAATGACAAGATGGGACTAGTGTCTTTTGTGCATTATTTTCCCTTTTGCCTTTTTATGTAAAAGGAATGTAATTTGTTCCCTATATCAATGGCACATGGTCTATTAATTTGATATATTCACTGTACAATTTTAATTTCATACTAGCAAATACACAGCAAAATGTAATTCTCAACCAAAACACAAGACTTTTCAATCAAGAACAATTTTTTATTCCAAAAGGTTAAATCCAAAATATTTGCACCATTTACATCAGTCTGGATATCAAAGGATGTACCAATATACATACAACCTGTCCCATGAAGCCATCATATGCACAACAGCATATACACCATATACAAAACAGGAATTCGCATGAAGTTGTCTAAGTTTACATGTAGTGATAGGTTAAATGACAAAAAACAAAAAAAAGCTTCATTTCCAATGCACCAGTCAACTTCAAATGGCAAAAAAACACAACCATCTTCATTTCTAATGCACCAGTCAACTTCAAATGGCAAAAAAACACAACCATCTTCATTTCTAATGCACCAGTCAACTTCAAATGGCAAAAAAACACAACCATCAACACCTTCACCCCCTAGCACCTGACCGTCCACCTTTCCCCGGTCTAGTAGCTGATGAGGTTGATCCTTTCTTTTGCCTCTTCTTGCTCTTTGCT